TGAACTACTTCATATTATATGATTCAAATTATATTGTCTAATTAATCAAAGTAATCATTATGAATAGTAGTTTTAGTCATATTTCCATAGTCAAATAATATTTTATGATTAATATCATATTTCATGTCTGTTCTTGATTAAAATTAGCCAGTTTTAGATCCCCTAGGATGATCAATAACCATTATGATGACTTATTAATATGTTCGCCATAGTGTATGAATGATATCATTCTATACAATCTCACATAACTTAGATTGACTATAAAAATATCTTGAATTCTTCCTCTCATAATCCATTTTTCCACCATTTGATTGATTCCCTTATGTGCGAGAGAGCATTGCAAGCATGTAAAGCAAGAAACCATGAGGTGCAAGTGCATCATTTTCTAATTAGCATTGAGATACAAAATTTTGAACATACAAGGATGCATTACCATATGACCAATATTAGACTCTATTAATCATTGACTCAATTTTATATTACAAGAACACCACACCTATTTTATTTACAATTTCTTTGTTAGAAGTGTACTTTAATTTATCATTATATTTGATCATTTTTTTAGTTTTTTTTTACTAATATTATTATCAAAGATGAGCATATCATTATGAGATCTATGGCGTGTTTCCTTCAGGTTGCAAGCATGGACCAACATCTATATGAGTACCTTAATATTTTAAATAATGGTGTATGTCCACACTCCATTGTGACCACTACTAATTATAAATGGATTTCTATAAATCAAGCTCTATGTGATAACCCCTACCACATTAGCACTCCTCTTTTTAGCACATATTTTGATTATTATAGACATAATTTAGTTCAATCATTAATGTATTGTTTTAACTAATACACTCGTTTCAAGAATCAGAACTAATAAGTGCAATTGTACATAAGTATTAAACACAAATAAATTGTGTAACCTAGAACCAAGATTATGTTGAGGAAGTAAAACACATAACAAACATAAACAAGAAATAGAAAATTGAAGCACAAATAAAGAACATCTGGATTTAAGGTGGAAAAACTAGAAATCGAGAAATAATCATAGAGCCACACCATACAAAGAAATTCACTATGAAAATATGAGGGAAATAGTATAGATCTCTCTTTTCTTTCACTCTCTCTATATCTCTCTTCACCCTGGCACTGTTCTCTTTCAAACGAACAAAGAGAAACAATCAAAAGAACCCAAGAGACACAACCCTTAATGAAAAATGTGAAAGAAATTGCTATGTCGTCTTGTAGTGCCATAGCGTTGGCACTCAAATCTCTGTCTTTAGCTTTCCTGACAACACAACAACACTACAACCTCAAGGTTAAAAGTGCCACAACGCTCTGCTCTTTGTCGATCTATCTCTAAGTAAACTATGCAATGTTTCAATGCTCAAGTAAAGAGCACCACAATATTATAATGTTATACAAAAAAATTTTGGATGCAAATAACCCAAACCCAAGTAGGGGGGAGGACCCCCTACAACCCCCCGGTGAGATCAATCGTTGGAATTGAGGTCTGAGGCAACAATACAACTTAATTGATTGACACAATCATAATCCACATGAACTAACATAATACTCAAGCAAGGGTATGAATCATAACCATGAAGAAAAGATAAAGAAGTTAAGATTAATCAATAAGAAGATTATCCACAAGTCTAGTTGAGGTTAATCTAATCTATAAGGCTTAAGAGTCAAATCATAAAGTAAATCTTTTGAAAATTTTGTAAGGGGTATAAACCCTTTAGAACTAGTCCTTGAGGCTAACCAAGAGGCGTGGGTGGGGGGGGGGGGGAGGGGGTGAATTGAATTTTTTTAAAACTTCTTTATCAAAAGAAAATCTTTTTATAACTTGATGCAGAAACTAATTAAATTCATGATGAAAGATAAATCAATATTTTTACCCAAGTAGTTAATTGCAAGAAAAATAAATACAAAAATAATAAAAGGAAAGAAAACACTAAAATTTATGCTAGTTTGGTCAACCTTACATACGTTCAGTCCTTGGAGACTCCCTTTCCAAGTTTTACACTAAAAAGAAGTGACTCTCCTTTTTCTCCCATAGTAAGATGGAGAAACCCATACATACACTATTTCACCTCCCTATTACAGCAGAGAAATGTGGTTCTTTTGCAGGCATAGAAGCTAAACTCTATTTTCTCCCTCATGGTGATGGTTAGATAACCATAACTCTATTTTCACCCTCCAGGTGATGGTAAGAGAACCATGATTTTTGCTGAAGAACTTCTTCTCCGAAGCCACAGAGATTTAAAGTAGATACTTATAGATACTAGGCTATATTTTTGTTTGGAGCAACATTGTGAATCCCTTCATAACTTCTCTCTCACAAAATCTCTCTCTCTCTTCTCTCATCAAGCTCTCCTTCTTCTCTCCATCAAGCTCCCTCTCAAGAAGACTAAGCAGCAAAAGATGTCTAACAAGAGTGTTCGAGATCCTTAAATAGAGGGCTTCACAAAAAACCTAATTTCCATGCCATCAGTCTTTTGTTTGTATAGTACGATTGAAATATCACATGGCTTGATCAGTTCAATTTAGACTCGTCCAACAAGATCATTTTGATGAATTGTTTAACTTTTATAATACATCGTATAATATGATAAAAAATTATATGGTACGATATGCAAAAAAAAATTTTGTTCATTTGGGACGATCCTTGGGATGGCCAAATTCATACACGGGTGATCATCCAACATTTTGGATATCATACAGTATAATCAAAACAAAAATTATGGATTTTATTTGGTACGATAAAGGGGATGACTAGTTTTGTACATAGGTAATCGTACAGTACGAACTAGTTTGTACAGTACGATCAATCACAATAATTGTCCATGATTTGATTGCTTGATATTACATGATTAATTAAGAAAGATATTAATCAGAGCATATAGTATGATACAATTCATATAAAATAACTAATATATAATTAAAATCTTCCTAAACTTTGGTGGCTAGGATTTGGCAGAGCACAGCAGACTGTACAATATGAATTAAAAGCATACAGTAAGATTTACGTATCGTACAGTATTAAGAAAATTGTACAATACAAATTACTTAAAAAGAAAAAAACTCTCTCAAAACTATTTTTTCACTCTTTTTCATGTGTGTGTGCAAGGTTGTTTAGCAAAGATATCCACCCAAATATTAAATATGACTCAAGAAAGAAAAAATATAAAATAAACATAAATAATAGTCTTGAGCATATCAAAATTGTAAGTGAACCGTGGGCTAAATTTATGAAATGTTAGTACACACAAAATACAATATCACATAAATAGTAAAAAGTTGTATCAAACCCAATAATATTTGTTGTCATCAAGACACAAACACAGTGCTTAGACCAGATCTGCAATAATCTCCCTTTTTTATGTCAAATATTGTTGTTTAGGTTTTCCAAAAAAAAAGTTTTCTTTTAAATTTCCCTCTTAAAAAAGATAATAATAGGAAATAAAGAAACAATAAACAAACACAAGTCTCCCCCTTTGATGGAAATTATTTTTAAGTAAAAAGAGAGTGTAAAAAGAAACAACAATAAAATAAAAATGATAACAATAACAATAAACAACAAAACACTACTCCCTCTTTTGACATCACAAAAAGAGGGAAACAACAGGAAGAAAAAATAGAATAGAAACAGACACAGGAACATAAATAAAAATAGAACTAGGAAACAAACAGATGAAACAAGATTGACAACTCAAAATATCACACCTCTATTAACTTAAATGGGAATTTTTAGAATGTAATAAACTTGCTCTACACACAAAAAGGACAAATAAGAGAAGTGTTGACTATCTTGCATGCAACAAAAGGATTGGATTCTAGAGTTTGCACATCCAACTTTCCAACTTTACATACTAAAATCCTTTGTTTAAATAAAAAATCTAATTCAATAATTGTAATTATATAGGGAAACTTAGCCTTTCAGATTGCTGACATGAAATATATTGAATAGAATATTACTATAAAAGTGAGGAATGAAGAACCAAGATTTTCTAGAATCAAGTATTAAATATCTTATGAAATATCAGAATTTTCTAAGACTTAAAGATTTACTAGAAAGAGAAGCTAGTTTAGGTTAGTCTCATTTTTTGCCTCTTTTAACAGTTTTATGCAAACATTGTGTATCTTTTGTTTTTGATACACTTAGTGCATCTTTTACTTTTGGCGTCACTATGCATCTTTTGATTTTGAGCTCATTCTGTGCTTTTTTTGAAATAAATTCAAAAGAAGAGAAGAATAAATCACTCTCTTGTTTAAGGAGGAATAATCTACAAAACAAACTTGAGTTTTTCTAATATGAATAAAAGCCTGTGATAGAATAATAATTAATTTAATTCATCAAATTTATAGAATATATTCATGATATAAGAACATGCAGTAGAGTGAATAAGATTTCATTTCAACCATCTTAATTCTAATTTGATTCAAATTTTTGAAGCATACAAAAGGAATTATCAGGTAAAGAAAAATAAAACGGGATATGTAAATTTATGAATTTCTATCTTGTTAGTTTAAAATTGTCAGCAATTACTTATTTAAATCGTTTAAGTATTAGTAGATTTATGTTTACACAATAAAAAAAGCACAATTCAGGCCAAGGCAAGTCATATAATATGATCTAAATCATACAGTACGAGTTCATTCATACAGTACGATTCTATTAGTACAGCATGAGTTCATTCATACAGTACAATTTTATTTTTACAGTACGATTTCATTCGTACAATATGAGTTCATTCATATAGTATGATTTCATTCGTACAGTATGACTTAAATCATTTAGTACGATCAACAGAAACTAAAGTGAGCGCCAAAAATAGTTTTAATTTAGAAAATGATAAAAATAAAAAACTAATTTATGCAAAATCATATTATATGTTTAGATCACATTACATGATGTATGTTTGATCCGTATAATTAGATAATATTAATTTATATTTTAAGATATTTATAAATTTATTATTATGAACTAATTGTATCACTACCAAAAAACAATATTTTTTCCATCAATTTTTTCTAGGGGTTTTAAAACTGCTGCCAAAACATTCTTTGGCACCGGTTTTAACCGGTTCAATTAAAACCAAAAATATCGCGCCCAGCACTTAAAATACCAGAATCCCTAATTTCTCTATTTCATCTCCCGCGAATGCAAACCGACCCAAATTTGGAGCGAACGCAAGCGACGGCGCGATTCTTCTCCTCAGGCGACGTGGGGCGCGGGTGCAGTTCTTCTCCTCAAGCGACAGGCGCGACTCTTCTCCTCCGGCCGGCCGTTCCTCACTGTAAATCTCTTTCCCTCCTTCCTCTTCTTGTTCATGTTATTTTCCCTCTTATTCTCATTCTTCTTCTTATTTCTTTATATTAGCCCTAAATTAGAAATTAAATGGAAGGAAAGAAACAACAATGAAAATTTCTTTTGCAAATCACCAACCCTAGAGAACTTCGCCAGCGCCATTGACGCCGACTCCGATGCTTGCATTCTAACAAAAACTTTGTAGTTTCTCTTTAGGTTCTTCCCAAGTGTGATTCTCTATTGATTCAACCTGTTTTTATTATTTTTGATTTTTAATTGCACTGTGAATTGAGATTTTTTAGTTGCTTAATTAGTAGACCTTATAAGCTAAGTTCTCCATATGGATGAATGACCTTTTTTTAATTGCTATATGAATTGGGATTTTAGCTTTTTTTTTTTTTTGGTTTCGGAATTTCTGTCTATTCAAATATTTCTTCTATTTGATAAGAATTCCACCATTACAAACATGGAATACCTAGACTTTCATATATCATACAGTTTAGACTTTCAGGCAATATTTCAATAGGCTTGTAATTTTTCTTGATCCTGAATTTCCTATTCAAAGTTTCTATTAAGATATTGTTAGGTTTTATTCCAGAATTGTTATGTTTTATTCTAGATTTTTTAGTTTTGTTTTTGTATAGCTTGTGTGTGGCTATTTGTATAGCCTTAGGTGCCTATTAATAGGCCTTTTAGCTTGTAATAGGGAAGCCAAGGAAATAAAGTTGTGAAGCATTTTTGGCTCACCATCTCCCCTCTCCTCTCTCCCTCCTCCTCCTCTTTCAAGATCCATGATGAAGTGCTTCTTCCTCAAGTGAAAGGATCTCACATCTGGTATCAGAGCCACAGTGGTGGTGACCTCGAGGTGGAGGTGAGAAGGTTTCTTGTCTAAAGAAACGGAAGCTGGTGGTCTCGGAGGAAGGCAGCGGGTGCCGCGATCGGAGGCGACTTTGGCTCAGCGAAGGGAGCACGTACGGCAAGGTGAGGCTGAAGGAGGCCACGCGGTCTGGTGCGCATGAGGCAAGCAGGCGGATGATCCACGGGAGCTGGGTTGCCTCAGGATCGGACGGAGGTTAGTTTGCCTGATTCGGAGGCTACCATCGGGGCTTAGCTGGACTTGGTTCGGTGGGGTTACCAGAGCAGAAGAAATTGGAGGCGGAAGGCTTGGGTCACGTGCAAGGATTGCACGACAGAGGTTTGGGCTTGGTCTCGTGTGGTAGAATAGTGATCTTTCCTTCTTCGTTTGCAAGATCAAGCCAAATGCAAAAGAGGCTTGGCTTGCTGGAGAACTGAAGGTGTTGAATGCAAGCCGAGAGAAGTTCCCAAACCAAAATTCTTGAAACCTCCATATCATATCGGCTTTGATATATAGTTCTTGCCGACTGGTTCTTGTTTAAGGTGGAGCCTCAGGCGTGGCTTGGTGCCATAATAGGCCAGACGCATGCGAACAAAGGCGCCCGGACAGAGGTGAGCGGGCCAAAGTACAAGTAGCGGCTGTCAGAACTGTTTGGAAGCATGATCTTTCATTTCTTGATTAAAGATTGGTCAAGATTTTAGGTGGAGTTTTGGATTTCTGGTGGAGTCCGGGGGGCACTGAGGTAGTGTCGGCTGCTCTTGGAGAGCAGGGTTGAGAGTGCGGGGCACTTGGAGATGCGTGGTCGTGCGGTGCACGAGGAGTCCGCAATAGGAGCGTGGGGCACTGGTGAAAGACACGCAGGGTACTGGCCGGATGCGACAGTGCGGAGCGTGGTCTTGTGACGAGCGGAGCGCTGGTGAGGGCGCAAGGCTCGCTGCACGGGTGGATGTGCAGGATGTGGTCAGAGAGAGACCATATGAGTGCAAGGTGCGGGCGCGAGCTTGTGGCGTTTGGACGCGGGCTGGAGGCGCAGGGCGTGGGCACTGAGGCGCAGGGTGCTGGTGGATGCACAGGGCGCGGAAGCTGGGCTAGGGGTGCTCGGGGATTGGCTGCGTTGGACGCAGTG